CTTATGGCAGTATCGCAAAAGTACTAGAAAATATTAAAAAATGGCGTCGAATGGCCAATCATAAGTTTGATTTATTCGGTAGCCATTTATAATAGCGATAAATCAATCTTATGATTGGCCATTTGCGTGTCCAATCAGGACTCGTAACACCGGTCGCGCTTCTCTGATAATCTAGGACTTTAGGTCTATTTAACGAGTACACCTCTGTCTTTATTACACCATGATTTTTTCTGAGTTTTGGAACGCAATCAGCTGATTGAAAATCGAATACGGTGACTTTTTATCGGAATGTGAAGAAGGCCAAGGCAATCTTCATAAATTCCGAATACTGAGCGCACAATATTTTACAATTATCCAAACTGTTCGATTTTATTAAAATTTTCGTGGTAACTTTTGTAATCTTTGCGTTACAATCGTACGTCACGGTACAGTGTATTGACACGAAATTTTCTGCTGGTGAACAAGTAACCTCTACAATAAGATTAAGAATTTGCATCTCCCGAAGACATGGAATCGCAAAAAATTAACGATTGCGCTTTAAGCGCAAGTACGATATTAAGAGCACGTGCCTCAACGAGTAACGAAGGTATACGTACACCCACTGGTATGCTAGATCGCACCGAAATTAGATACCGGATGCTGCACCTTTATTTTGAAGCGTCTTGACGATTTCTCGTGTGTCACCCCCCTATCTAATGCCGTTAGCACAATTTTTGCTGCCAAATTTTGAGCCACATTAATAAATGTGTATAATAAAAAACCGAAAAAGCTTGGCGATACGAGCCGAGCGATAACTGCACTAGAATGGGTTCGAGTCGCGTGTCACGATCGCGAGAAAATTTTGCGGACGATAATGGTAAATAATGGATACTTTGAATTTAGCCGAGAGACTGCGAAACCTCCAGGAGGACAAGCCCTCCAAGCTAACGATCGGGGCGTTTTTCGAGTTTATGCGAACCGCGTATCAGGTTAACGACAGTTGCGAGGGTCTGGCCACGATACTGAGCGCCAACAGCGAGATCGACTGGCACGAGCTGGCAAAGATTAATCTGGACCTGGAGACGCGCAAGGACAATAAACCAGTCAATGACAGTCCTAATACCGAAGAGCAGCAAAACAAGAGTAACGATCCCATACAAGCGTTACTGGCGCAATTGAGTAACAAGGAGTTGAGTCTGTGTACGTCGGAGAGCGCGATAAGCTCGCAGTCTTCCACGATGTCTTTTAATAGCGCGGTTTCTAACACGTGCAACAACAAGAACGCCTCCACGGAGGAATCCGCCAGTGTGGAAAATTCTAACAAATGTTTAGAGACAGGGGACGGCATTAAAGAGGCGAATCAATCGTCGGGTGGTGATCAAGTCCCGAATGAAAGGGGGAAGACCAAAGAGGAGGAGAGCGAGCACGGCTTGGCGAGGGTCATGAGGGAAAATCTGAGAGATATTTTGCACGAGGGATTACTCGACTCCGTTCTGCCGTACATGCTCCCAAAGACTGCCCTGTCGCAGCCCGTTATCAAGAAGTCCGCTGCCGTTGCGGATGTCAAAAAGAGTTCCTCCTTGAACAACGTAGTTGAAAGCAAGGCCTCGACTCACAAGGAGCGAGACAAGGAGAAAAATAAGACAAGCAAGAAATCGCTGGAGTAAGTATCTTTTGACTGCAATTATATTTTCCGCTCAAACATCTTGCCGCGCGAAGTCAAAAAGTATTTCTAGTAACTGGATTAATTTTTCATGGTAAATTTCTTCAATGATATATTTGTAAATTCATAAATTTATCATTAAACAGGGTTGCCAAAACTGGAAATCAGGGAAGAGTCAGGGAGTTTTACAAAACTTTCTGGAAAATTAAAATTCTTAGATTTAAAAAAGTTTAATATGCGTATATCACACACTTATACAGTTTTGTTAGCTAATGTAAACCCTCACTTTAATAGAGGTTTAAAATCCTAAGAGCATTCAAATTTTCAACTTGTCTACTATTTGTTGGAATTTTAAATTTATTTAAAACTGTTTTTTTTTTTAAACCTACTTGTAAATTTCTTGTGTCACTTGTGAATAAATTAAAATTGATTTCATATTTTTGCAATTCTTCTTTTCTTTTTTTGTAAATCTTTGTATAATATCAAGTCGGAGATTTCAGTGAACAGGATTTAGTTTTTATCAAAAAGAATCTATATTTACATGTTTCTTGTATTGTAAGCAGAGGAAAAGAATTGTGCGCATGTATAATAAAAAAAGATAAAGAAATACTAGCAACTTAACAATTAAATGCAAGCAATGTTAACAACAGTAATAGTAATTTACATTGCTATGTTAAATTGCTTTCTCAACAAAATATTTTAACGGTTTCCAAATAGTTTTCCAATTAAACGAATGTATAAAAGAATTTTTTAATATATTGAAAGTTAGGGAAAATCATGAAATTTTGTCTGAAAGTCAGGGAAAAGTCATGGGATTTTAGAATGAAGAATTTGTGGCAACCCTGTTAAAGAAATTTAATATATTTATAAATTTCTTTAATGATACATAATTATTTTATCGCAGGAGTGAGGTGGAAATTCATGTATGCGACGAAGACAAAAATATCAGGAAAAACTTTCGATGTCCGCAAAAGCTCCTCATACAAAAAATGTGTTATTTCGCCGATGTCACAGCGGGACAGAAGCTCGACGAGATAGATATATCGGTGCACTGCGACGTGGTCATTTTCGACTGGCTGATGAGATGGGTGAAGAAGGACATCATAAAGAAATCAGAGTGGCCGGTCTTAGAGGCGAATAACGTCATTCCAATTATGGTGTCCGCTTGCTTCTTACAAATGGAGCCGCTTTTGCAAAATTGCCTTCAGTATTGCCACGACAATATGTCGGATATTTTGAAAACGTCGACAATCTTGACGTGTCTAGACGATAATCTTCTTACAAGGCATGCGTTTTATTGTTGTCACAGCTCTGATTGTACTTTCATAATATACCACTAGTTGGCTAGTAAGGTAAACGTACCAGTGACTGAACGTGTATCTACAGCAGAACAAATACACAAAACAGGCACAAAAACTTATTTTTAAATGCCTTTTTTCGTAATATTATAATTTAATTGTAATCTTTAAATATTTTTACAATTAAATTTTGATGTTATAATAAAAAAAGCATTTGAGATTAATAAATTTTGTGTACGAGTTCAGATGTAGATACATGTTCAGTTCACTGGTACGTTTACTTTAGTAAATGATTGATTTAAAACTTTTTCCTGTTTCATTGACGATTATACAATCCGTAGATTGGCCGAATTATTTACCAACGAGGACGTTGAAATACTGAAAGACAAGAAAGATAAAATTCAGAGCCGTTTGTTCTGTAAGTTAATCATGTCTCTAGTGGAGGCTACTCCAGATAGCAAAAAGGGACATTATAGTTCATTGGCTGTGATGTTTAGATGTGGAAAATGCGGCAAGAATGTTATACAATCGATTTCCGATTTTGTGCCCTGCGTGCCGAGCGCAATGAAAATCGATAACAAGGGGGCTGTTCACAGCAAACACGTCAGGTATACACACGCGACGCATATATTTTTACAATAAATATTATTACGCAAAGATCGAAAAAATAATCCTTTGCAGAGATTTGACTTGGACGTTGAACGATTATGTCATTGCTTTGCGATCGGAGTTGCGCTCTTGGCGCAAGGTGTACTGGAGATTGTGGGGTGACTGCCACTTCTTGTTCTGCCAGCAGTGCAACGTGTACTTCCCGATACATCAGATCGGTTGGTGCTGCTATCATCTGGAGCCTGCGCAGTTCTTCGTAAACGAGCAACAGAGGCCTATGCCCTTCCCGCTGGGAAGATACCCGTGTTGTAGTCAGTCTGCTTACAAATTTGAAGCTTTGTCAAATCCAAGTGGATGTAGATATAAAGTTAGTATGATCGTTGTGTATCTCTTTCATAATGTGTCTTTACAATTGTATTATAAAGTCGAATTTACTCTTAAATATGAATGTAATATACATAAAAATTAATGAAAATATAGTGTTCACGTAAAGATTTCTGTTGCCCTTTAGGAACACGTTCCAGATGTGAGAGGCGAGAAGGAATTAAATATGTTAAATATTATGACAGCGCACAGAGACGTGATAACGCTGGAAGCGCCCCAGCTCTTCTTCCCCGAAAAAATCACACGGCTGGTGACGCGCGACCCGTCTCTCCGTCTAGGCAAATTAGTGTGCAAAGACACGATGTGGTGGAACGGCATAGAACTCGTGCCGCAGAGACCGAAACTTGGCCTGCTCGGTAAGTTGCCAATTTGACGCTCACCCTCTCGTATATGTGAATTCTAAATAACGTAGAAGAAATTTTTCCGCAAACCCAGGAAAGATCTGGGGAGGTTCGGGACTGCGTCGATTGCTCCAAACGCAGGATTCGCAAAAGTCACTGCAGAAGCTTTACCGGCGGATTTCCGTGACCACCGACGTCTCGTCCCCTACTTCCTCGAACACGGACGAGGACGATGAGGACGAGGGCGAGACTGTGTACGAGGACAGCAGCATAGACGACGAATCTTACTACAGCGAAGAGTCCAGTACGTTAGGCGCGTTGAAATCGACGGCTAAAGCGAAGCACCAGAATAGTCACAAGTAACAAATCGTGTCAAATGAAATAGGAAGCGTGCTTGTAACGTGAAATGAATCATGTGATGATTTTATCGTCCAGGAGCAGCGGCAGGTGCTGGAACGGGAATTTGAACGTGAGACACAATCAAGATAATCAGAGAGATTTTGAGGAGAGAGCCGCGGCGCAAATGGTAGCTCTTCTGACGAAGCGAACGGTCACGGAGAACCTGCTTTCGAGATACAATAACAAGCAACAATACGGCAAAACTAAGCAGCCAGTCGGTATGTTTCTTACACAATATATTTATACGATTATACTTTATATCAAAGTCCACAAAAAGAGCACATAAATAATACTTGAAAATTGTCATGTATATATAAATAATAACACGTTGTATCTGAAATAGGCGGAACGTATGTAAAACTGGAAGCAGAGTTTCGCGAACGGTTGGCCCAGTCTTGTAAATACAAGAATCCTCTAACGGGAAAGACTCGCATTAAGTTAAATAAATCTTGATTTGTACGTAGACACGGTTAAAGATTTGTCTGGAATATGTCGAAAAAAATTATTTTGTTGCGATTTTATACAAGGAAGGAATACACTGCCATAATTATTGTGCATCAATTAAATAATTAAATAAGAAATAGGATAAGTGATTTTAAATGTTTCTTTTTCAAAAATGCTTTATTAAGAAATTAAATAACTCAAATAAACTTGTTAAAAAAATCAAGCTGATTAATTGCTTATTAATTCATTGTTCGAATATATTACTTTGTATGTTAACCCTTAACTGATACGATTTTTTTTTACCTACATATGTAAGATCGCTGATCCCAAAATTAGATTTTATTAATTTTTGTAGGCTTTTGAAAAAAATTGAACTTTATTTATCAGAATAGAAAATAGAAACCTAGGTGATAAAATCAATAATGCCGATCTTAGAGAAAAATCATTTAAGCTGAGATCAGTGCAATAGTGAATTCAAAGTATCAGTTAAGAGTTAAGAATTCAATACGTTACTTATCAATTAAAAAATAACTCGGTATAACAATTTAATCCTGTAATTTCGTGTAAACATATAAAATTAGTACTTATTTGTACTTCCTTACTTCAATTTTTATCTATTCCTGAGAAGAATTATCTGTGTCATGGTTGTTAATCATCATGTCACTTCTATCTAATATTTTGTTCAGCTCCAGCTCTGTAAAAACTACAAGACCGATCTGTTAATTTCAGCAATTTTCTTTACATACTTCTATTACTTGAACAATACGTGACGACTTTACCTTCATTTTCGGACGTAACGACTTTGTACTCCTTAGATTCCATCAGCCTCTTCAAGTCCATCAAAGAATTATTGTTTAACTTTTGCAATTCTTTTGACATAACGATTTTCTCCAAAATACGTTTAGCTTCGGATCGATTGATAATTTTTTCATCAATTGTTCCTCTAGTGCACAGCCTGTAGACAACTACGGGTTTCGTTTGTCCTATTCTGTGGCATCGCGCCATGGCTTGTATGTCCGCTTGTGGATTCTGTAAAAGCGTGAAAAAGCAAGCGTGAGTGGAGTACGGATCAGGGCTGTTACTTTTTACTCACTCCGAATATTCGAAGTTTCGACGTTAACTTCGACCTTTCGAAGTTTAAGGTGCCTTCAAAGCTTCAAAGTTTTGAAAAATACATTAAAAATTTGAATTTTCTTAATTGGATTGTTTTATTGAACATTATATCTTTCCTCATTTGCACATATATCAAATTTAATTATTAATTTGTAATATTTTAGGTTATAATACTTTCAAATTTTTTATAAATAATTTCGTATATGTATTAATTCTTTTTACTTACAATATTTGTACATTTTTTGAATAAATTTATCATTTGTATAAATGTATTTTTCGAAACGTCGAAAAGCTTCGAAAGAATTCGAAGATTGTAATGCCAAAGCTTCGAATGTCAAAGCCTTCGAAGCAAATCACCAGCCCTAGTACGGATATCGGCATAAGTGTGAGAGAAAGTAACGCTGACGTTAACTCACCCAATCACTGTCGTATATAATGACAGTATCAGCACCCATTAAGTTCAATCCAACCCCGCCGGCTCTAGTTGAGATAAGAAACAGGAACATATCCGGATCGTTATTGAAAGCACTGATATTCCGTTTCCTCGCTTCAATCTCAGTGTGACCGTCTAATCTCACGTAATTATAATCCCGTAGCATAAGATAGTCCTCGATCATATCCAAGATCTGTGTCATTGTCGAAAATAATAGAACTTTGTGACCCTGCACTTTAAGTTTCGCCAGCATAGCGTCCAACACCAGAAGTTTACCGGAGGATCTGATCACATCATTATCGATTTTCGGTAAACCGGTCGAATCCAACGGGCAGTGAATCAAGTACGGATGATTCACGATCTTTTTGTACATTGAAACTGAAAAATATGAATAAGAGTAATGAAATGTAATATGTAAATTATGTGCACGTGTAAATGTTGTGTTATAATGCAAGAATACTTACGTCTATTTCCAAACCGAATGCGGACAAGAAATTCTCTATTGCGTTCCGTAACGTCAGTATATTGTTTCCACTTTGACAAGTGCTGCTGCTCCATAGATTCCACTTTGTTTATTTTCCACTCATTATTGTTTTCGATTTCTTGCAACGTCAACGCTCCTCTCTCGTCATTGCCTCCGTATTTACTTCTCAAAACGCACTGTCTTTTCGGTCGTTTGCCATTCACGTTCTCCATAACCAGATCCGGTATCTCGATTTTGCTCAGCATTTGTAAATCATAATTCAATACCGCCTTGTACAAATCGTGTTGCAATTCCGTGAGCGGCGCGTAAACGACTAATTCCCTCTTGGGCGGAATTTCTAAACAAACTTCAGATTTTAATCGTCTCAACATAAACGGTTTCAAAATCTCGCGCAGCGACGACAACACGTGTTTCTCCTCCTCCTGCTTCAGAACTTTTTCAGTGCCACTTTGATGCTGAAGCTCTTTAACGTCGAACCACGATTCGAACGTACCCAAATCGTCAAAGATCTCTGGCAGCAGGAAATTCAAAAGGGACCACAACTCGGCTAAATTGTTCTGAAGTGGAGTTCCAGTTAGTATTAGCCTATTCATGGATCGTAGAGTTTTTAGCATCCTGAAAAATAAATAATACATAACGATCTTAACAGAATGATAAAAAAATAGAGTAAAGTGATACAAAAGTTTAATTCGCTGATTAAGTTGTTTTCGAAATTGAGTATTTTTTTTAAGCTACTTTTCACACAGATATACATTCCAATATCTAATCTTTTTTTAATGGCTACACACTTGATCAGTTTGCAGTTGGGATTCTTTATTCTCTGCCCTTCGTCCACTATGATATATCTCCATGTTATAGTTTGAAGGAATTTAATTTCATGTAATGGCACTTCGTATGTGGTAAGTACAACCGGCTGCATCCTGAAGTCATCCGCGACATGGTGTGTACGTTTAATTTTTTTGGAGATGGCTTCTCTCTCGTCTGGCGTGCCGTAGAACAAGACGACCGGTATGGCCGGTGCGAATCTCTCGAATTCTATGAGCCAATTTGGTATAGTGGAGAGTGGTGCGATTATCAAGTAAGGCTTCGGTTGTCTCTCCTCCACGAGATGACATATCAAGGCTATCACTTGTACCGTTTTCCCAAGACCCATCTCATCCGCCAAGATTCCACTCAGGCCATTCTTATAGAGAAGCTTCAACCACTCCAAGCCCGTCAGTTGATAATCGCGTAGAGTGCCGCAGAAATATTTCGGCACAATACTGGTGCTGTCGGCAGCGGTCGCCGTCTGTGGTTCTGGTTCAGCGTCCGAGTCCGTGGATAATTCTGTCTCTATTTCCTCCGTGCTCAAATTCTTCTTTCCCTTCTTTCTCTGTACCTTCTTTTTTATCTGTAAAAAGAAAAAAATTTAATCAACTATAAATCACCTCTGCAACCAAATGACATTCTCGAAAGTTCGAATCTTGCTATTCACCTCCGTAGATATGTACTCCTGTATGTTATAATTTTCTATATCACCTCTCATCTTTTTCTTTGGTGGTGGTACATTCTCATCGTTAACAGGTGGAAGATACTTGCTCTTCCTCTTGATGAATCTCTCCTTGTGCTTTCCCTTACTCTTATCTTCAAGCTTGTTTATCAAATAAGACGAATAAAATTTGCTCTTATTCAATAAATGCATCAACCGCTTGTATCTTTCCTCGCGAGCCTCATTGTCATACTCCTCCTCCTGTCTCTTCTGAAGCTCTATTTCACTGGGAGTTTTTCTAGGCTTCACCTCCTTTTTCACCTCCTCCAACGGGCTGTTGTTAAACTTAACATCAATTGGGGCGATCGACGTATTTCCTGCAAGAGAAAACGAAATATTTTATACAATTGCCACTCAAGTATACATGTGTACTGATATTTCAAAGGAGAGAAGACTGCGTTTGATTTGGCGCTTACAGCGCTTATAAACACCATTTGTCCTTGTAATATTTAACATAAACAACGAGATCTGCAATTTTTCCCTTATTCTGCTAAATTCTTTCTTGAAATTCTCAGTAAAACACCAAAGGCAAATATCAACCAATTAAGTATCAAATAATTAATATTTTATATTTAAATACATATGTATACGTACGAATATAATATATAAGTACGTTAGTCCTCTTTTGTTTTTCTACAATTTACCTGTGAGAAAAACGGAAAAATTTCCGTTGGAATCGTTCGCATTTGAGTTATCGATGTTATCGTAGATAAATTGTTCCATTTCTGACAACGCGAGGTCCTCAACCGGCTAGCCAACAATCGCGAATCTTCAAGCAATGCTGTCAGGATCACTTGGGATAAACGAACGAAAATATTCATGTATGTACGTTTCGAGCGGATATAATAATCACACCATCGTCTACATCTCAAACTGAACTGAGCTAACTGCTAAACTAGTGAAATAAATTGCCGCTTGCCGCCAAACACGTGGTCACGTGGACACGTGACGATGGTAAGCAGGATGGCAATCGCCGGGGCCGAAAGATCCCCTAACCGGATCTTGGGAGTTTTTTTCGCGCATCCGACTCGGCAGTCTCGGCACAGAGAGGAAGGTCAGGTCAGAATAGAGTCCTAGATTATCAGAAAAGCGCGACCGGTGTTACGAGTCCTGATTGGACTTGCAAATGGCCAATCATAAGATTGATTTATCGGTATTATAAATGGCTGTCGAATAAATCAATCTTATGATTGGCCATTCGACGCCATTTTTAATATTTTCTAGTACTTTTGCGATACTGCCATAAGCCGGTCGCGCTTCTCTGATAATCTATAGAGACCCTTTAATAAGAGTCGCGAAATCAGGAATCCAATTTTGATTGGTGCCGACATTTTTCAGCAAAGACCAGAAATAGCCATGGTCAAATGCCATTATCAATTAATATATTATTATTAATTTTTTTATCTAATACTAAATTTCACAAAAAAACACTTTAATAATATATTTTGACATTTGTATTTAGATGTCCATGTGTCTATAGGTTAATATATGTCATTTTGTAACACATGTCATTTTACAACACAGCCAACATGGCTAATATAATAGTGTGATAATGTTCGCTATTTCCGGTTTTTGCTGAAAAATGGCGTTGTTCGACCTAACTTTCCTGCGTCATTTCGCGACTCTGATTAGAGGGTCTCTAATAATCTAGGACTCTAGAGTAACCTAATCGGTGCGTCGCGCAAGGAGTCGCGCGGCAAATGATTCAATAAAATGGGATATTTTGGTCGATTAATCGTGATGCGACGAACGACGCGACGCGTGACACGCTCAGTAGGAACGCACCCTTACTCTGATTAGAGGTTCTCTTCTATTAAGAACTGGAGCACATGAAATGCATAACAAATATTAGATTAATAAATATTAGATCTGTTTTTTTAGACATGTGCATTGCAATTCATCTGTATTATATCTTCCTAATAGTTAATTTTATTTAAAACTGCATTTTTATAGTTACCATCCGTGTTTGATTATCCAGAGAGATGGTAAAACAGTTGGAAAAAATATAATTTTGCGACAATATATATGTATATGATATTATATCATTATATAAGTATTTATACTTATTTATAAAGCATATAATATTATATAATAAAATATATTAGGCTCAGGCTGATATCATTTTGTACCAACAAACTGCCAAATTTTTTTAGGAAGCAATTTTAGACATATACACGCTGACACAGCTCTACACAAACTTTTTTCCGTTTTCAACATAAATTCTACCAGCCTGAGCTATATTGATGCTTACACTTTAATCGTAGAGAAGGACTTTTTAATCTGTTAACTTTATAATTATGTTTATTTTATGCTAAAAAATAATTATGGTCGGTCGATAAAATAGACGACTTTAGAATCGCCTTGCGGCTTGCATCTCATCGGTGATTCCTAAGAGCAGTTTGAGAACGCGCGCCAATGACGTAACATCGTCCGATCGGCGGCGGCGGCCCGGATTGGTCGCGCGAGTGTCGTACGATCGTTTGTAATTTTCCGGCTACTACGCTTTTGACATATCGTTCGTACCGCTCCGCGAATATCGACGGCTCCGCGAGTTTCACACGGCGTGTTTCACGCGAACGTTTGACGGCCCGGCGACGGCAATGGCAGACCCGGGTGGCTGGGCACCGGCCCAGGAGAATGACTTTCCCAATTTTCAATCGAATGACAGCTTCAATTTGAATGAAGTCACTGGCATCGATGGTAGGTCTTGTGCTCCGCTTTTTTTTATTCCGGACGAGCATCGCGCGCCCCTTCTCTCTCTCTCTCCCTCTCTCGCTCCTTCTCTTTCCCTCTCGCGACAATCGCGACCGGGATACTCGCGCGTATTTCGAGAAGATAACGTGACATTCTGTCGCCAGGTATTACCTTAGCTCCGCTAACGATAAACTTGTCGCTTCGTTCTCTTATCTCTGTTTTGATTGTCATTGATGCATAAGTATCGAAACGATACAAAAGTCGCGCGTAGTCACTTGTCATTTTAATAATGATTTACGAAATTATCACGCTACACAAAATTATTCTCACAAGACTTCTAATTTACATAATTTTTTTTGCAATTACATAAAGACAGCTGTAAAGAATTCAAAATGTATTTGACAAAAATTGATATTTTTTAAAATATCAAACATGAAATATTTTATTATTGATAAACTGTCAACTCTTGCAGATCTTCTGACGAATTGCGAGAGCGAGTTGCTGAAAAATGAGCTCTTCAGCGATGAGGCTCTGCTCTCCGAATTGGAGGAGCCGATGCAGGTGGACGGGGACTTTGACTTCCTGAATCTCAATAACGATGAGTTCAAGGACTTCAAGGATCCAGCGCTCCTCGAACCGCCGAGTACGAATGTTATGGTGACGCAACAGACGGACGGCGGTCAACCTGTCGCCGCCTACGTGCAGCAGGACATCGCTACGGTGCCGCAGAACAGACCGCAGAGAATAGTGGCCTCGACGAAGCCTACGGTGTTCAGCTCGCAGTACGCGATACCGCAGAACGTGAATTTCAACGTGCAGTCGCCGAACGTCGTGACTCTGGCCCCGGTCGCCCAACAGCGGCAGCTACTTCTGCCGGCCAAGTTGATCAAGTCGGAGTCCCTCGTGTACTCAAAGGGCGGGCAGACCATCACGTCGACTCCCGTTCCCCATCAGATACACACTCTTGTGAATACTGCAAGTGGGACGGTACTAACTACCGGTAAGTGAAGTTAACATTGTTTTTTTCCGTCATATTTACATCAGCACGAATGACTGTCTTTAGAAGAAATAAGAATACAATTGTAACTTCATGACACATGCGTTAACGTGACCCCGTTTGATTCAAGGGATTCCTGTGGTGCTGGACACCGACAAGGTACAGATTAATCGCCTGAACACGGGCACACATGTGGGCGTACCGAGGGTGAGAGAGGTGAAACGCAGCGCCCACAACGCTATCGAGCGTCGTTACAGGACGTCGATCAACGACAAAATAATTGAACTGAAAAACATTATAGTCGGAATTGACGCCAAGCTGAACAAGTCGGCAATTTTACGAAAAACCATCGATTACATCAGGCAAGTATAAGAGATGAGTTTTTAATTTTATCTCGCGGCATATATTAATTAAAGCCTATATTAATAAATTGCTTCGCGCAACACAGATATTTGCAGAACACCAATGCGAAATTGAAGGCCGAGAATATGGCGCTGAAGATGGCTGCGCAGCGGCAGAATCTTCGCGAATTGTTGGTATGCGGCGAGTTAACGCCTCCGCGTTCCGACTCGAGCGAACCGTCCCTGTCTCCTGCACCCGCGCCACCGTCACCGCCGTCTCCGTCGTCGGTGAAGGACGACTCGGACGCGCTGCACAATCTGCACGTGCCCGCTTCGTCCAGCGGAGGCATGAGGGATCACACTCGGCTGACGTTATGCGGATTCATGCTGTTATTCTTGGCATTCAATCCTCTCGGTATCCTCATGAACAACATTGGAAGATTCAATTATGACTACGCGAATACGAAACTGGACGGACGGACGATTCTCAATTATCAAGGTAACAGAGTGCAAGCGGATTGTTTTCCTCTCTCTCTCACGATCTCGATTAATTTTCTGCTTCTGACACGCTCCTTTCCTTTCGTTTACAGATCAGCTGGAATCGGACAAGCAACCGTGGAGCAACGTTTTCCTCTGGTTTACCAATCTGATACTCCTGGCGGTCGGCCTCTGTAAACTGTTGCTGTACGGCGATCCGGTTTTACCCACCGACAGCAAGGTCTTCCTCGAGGTACGTCGCTGGCGACGCCAGGCCGAGTTCAATATATCCAAGCACGAGTGCAACCAGGCGTACCGTGATTTGCATCAGTGCCTGCAGTACTTCGGCCGGTCCTTCCCGTTGTCGCGCACGGAGATATTCCTCGCCACCACGTGGCAAATAGTGCGTCAGGCTCTTCACAAGTTATGGCTGGGCAGATGGGGGATGCAGATCAGCAGGGGGCTGTCGGAGAAATCGGAGCGGCAGCAGGCGGAGACGTCCGCCGTGGAGATGGCCATCGTTTACCAGCACATGCTCTGCCTGCGTATGTCCGAGGGCACGAGGGACTCGACGTTGTACCTCGCCCTCTGCGCCGTCAATTACGCGGAAGCTGCCGGCGAGAGTACGCCGAAGCCGCTCCTCGCGGAGATCTACGTGAACGTCGCCCTGTGCCTGAAGCAGTCCTTCTTCCCGTACATACACAAATATTACCTGGGCAAGGCGCGCGTCCTGCTGTCCTCGTGCGCCGTACCCCCGAAACTGAAGTGGATCATGACCGACGAGGGCGCGAGGTTCCTGGCGTCTCAGAGGTGGCAGTACAAGAGGCAGCCCGACAGCGAGTTCACGTCGCAGAACAGTCGAGCGGACCCGCTGTCGTACGCGGCTCGCGCGTACAGGGACCACCTGATCGAGCAGTGCCTGCGTCTATTGACCGGCACCGTCGGGGAGTGTCATGCGTCGTCCGTACTCGAATTGGGACGGATGATCATGGCCTCCGCGGAGGTGGAAGCCTGTTTCCCGTGCGCCGACAAGATCAGCGTAGCAAGTACGAAAAAACAAACTTATCTAAAACTGCGGGAAAAAGATTATCAAAATGGAGTCTCACATTAATGCATTTTTATTCACATTATTATACATTATTTAGCAATTATTCAGTATACATATTATCGGGCAATGTATTTTATTTAATTTTTTTTTTCTCTTTACTTTTTTGAAGCGTGCGAAGACGAGATTGGATTATGGTGGGGTGCGGTAATCTGCGCTGCCGCGAGTTGGAGGCTGGGCGAGGAGGATTCGAAGGCGTGGAGCATTGTGGAGAGTAAATTCCCGTACGAGAGGAACTTCCAGGTTAGCGACAGCAACAGCAGCAGCAGCCCGTTACCCCACGCCGTGCTCAGCGTTCTCCAGGTGGCGAAGAATCCTACAAAGCTGGTCTCCATGCGTTTCATTGACCAGGCAGGACTGCTGCTCGAGCAGTCCATGGTGTACTATCACTGCAAGGAACAATCGTCGCAGCAAGTCTTGGTAAGTTAAACAGAATAGTCACGTCGCGTATGTACTCACAGTTACGGTTTCTGTTTACGTGTTTGTTATGTGCTGAGGGTAACTTCTTTCGAGCGTAAAACCGTGCTACCGTTTACCTGTTACAAGTGTGCATTGTAGTTGCATTGCATGAAATATAACTATGCAATACTTCTACAGTGCAACTCCTGTGGCAGGTCGCAGCACCATTTATACGTATATATACATGTAATATATTTTACAAATCCACTTTGCGTGAGTCGTGTGCGCAAATGTATTTCGCTTCCCACTAAACTCATCTCTCGCTTATCTTCCAGCTTACGCAGCTGTTGGTCTGCGACTGGCTTCTCGAGATACGCACGATTCTTTGGCAGGAGATGGACGCGGAGCCGGAAAGATCGGTCGCGAGCGTGTCGCTCGCTGGGTTCCAGCGCGATTTGGCGTGTTTGAGACAGTTGTGTCAGCACATCCCGGTAAGCGCAAAGTCCGAAGATTTCCGTTTCAATTCGATTTTACAATAAAGCTCGAGCTTACGCCGATAAAATAACATTTTACCGTGTGGTTTCTTTTATCCAAGATACAATGTTACCATGTACTTTCTTTTCAGTCTGTAATGGCGCGAGTGTTCCTGTACGAAGCTACAGCGCGCATGATGGCCGGGGCGACGCCGGTGAAGACGCAGATCTTGCTGGACCGAAGTCTGCACCACAGGAACTCGCGCTCCTCGATCATATGCGGCAAGGACCGGTCGCAGGAGCAGAACAACAGCGAGAGGGAGCACGCGGTCGCGCTGTGTCTGGCGTGCCGGCATCTGCCGACGTTGCTGCTGGCCTCGCCGGGCGAGCGCGCCGGCATGCTCGCGGAGGCCGCCAAGACGCTCGAGCGAATCGGGGACAGGAAACGCCTTCAGGAGTGCTACAAACTGATGCGACAGCTCGGCTCCGCGATCACGGTCAATTGACGCGTTTCTGTTTGACATATTCAACATATTTAAACATATTTTCTTATCTATATTATATATACGGGTGTTACATATATCGTGATACTTATGAAAGTTATGTATACTCATTTATCGGTCGAATTTCAACGCGTTCTTTCGGTCTGGTTTTACAACGGAACTGTAACTTCTGCCAAATCGTTATTTAAATTTTTTATTTCTTCCTCATTGTATGATACCGTCGCTCTTCGAATACAGCGGCTGCGTTCACTTTGGGCGCGAAAGCTGTAAGCTTCATTTTATCTTCCTCATGTAACGAGCGACGAATATAAAATGACGGTTTGACAACGCGTGTACGCCCAAAGTGAACGTGGCTATAGTATTGTATTATATGTATTGTGCGCAGTTGACTCAAGACGCGAACGACAAGCAAGGAATTGCGGATACGAAAATTGGACCGAAGGTTGTCTAAATTCAACCATTGTACTCATTTGTAAATAGGACATTTAATTTATGGATCTTATTGTGCATTTTTATTTTCTCGTACTCTTAGAGTACAAATAGATCATACTAGATTAATAATCTATAGTTTATTAAGCTATAACTCTTAATATATTTTCTAATAGATTCTCTCTACTTGGAGGAAGTGTCTTATTTACAGATTACTTAATTATACATATTGAATATTGTTTAATTATGTATTCTTTTTATAGAGTAAATTACATAAAAGAAAATTAAATGATTTTAATTAACTTTACCACCTTCTGCAAATATTTCAGATATCTTTATTGCGGATACGAAAATGATAAGCGACACGAAAATTGGACCAAAAGTTGTCTAAATTCAATCATTGTACTCATTTGTAAATAGGATATTTAATTTATACGGATCTTATTGTGCATTTTTATTTTGTAATTATATTTTCTCGTACTCTTAGAGTATAAATAGATCGAACTAGATTAATAATCTATAGTTTATTAAATTGTAACTCTTAATAATATAGATTATACTCTATCTAAGAGAAGTGTCTTATTTACAGATTACTTAATTATATAATTGAATATTGTTTAATTATGTATCTTTTTATAGATAGAGAGTAAATTACATAAAAATAAGGAAATTAATCAATTTTACCACCTTCTCTTCTGCAAATATTTCAAATATCTTTATTGTTATTTAAATTCTTATACCAAGGAGGGGAGAGAGGAAGAGTCTTTCTCTTCTCTTCCTCTCACCCCTCCTTGGTATAAGAATTTAAATAACAATAAAGATATTTGAAATATTTGCAGAAGGTGGTAAAATAATCATAAATTACATTGTTTTTGTTTATGATGAGCCAGCGCGACAGATAAATTAGGCGTTCGGCAAATAATCGACGATCACGCCATCACGCGTGCGTTCCGAAATATCGAATCTCCACATCCGCGAATCGCTACATGTCGCCTCTCTAGCTTGCCTCCTTTTCCGTGGCGACGACGGTCGACGTGAGTTTGCTGTGTACGTTTTTCCAGCATTTTGAGATTATTCCCTTGGAATTCGGGCCGAATCGGAATTTCTTTCTGCCGTGTACGTCGAAAATAGATATCCGAACTTTCGTTCGCTGTTACACGACCGCTTCCAGCTCGGCTGGAGAGTGCGAAACGTCAGACTTCGAACTCGGTTGACTCTACCTGCTCGCGTCGAGCCACCACGTGCATTTCGCACGTTACACGTCGCGCGTAGAAATTCCTCTGACAATATCGCTCCCCGTCAAATCGCGTTCTCCATCGCATAAATTATCACATAAGACTTGAAGTGTAATGTTTTTTTCCGTTAGATTTTTTTTGTGCGAAAAAATGTGGAAATGTTGAGGTTAGGTTTCGATATGGGATGGGAGCCGCAAACGTTATGCGAGAACGTTTATCGGGAACGAATATCTGTCTGGTGCAACCCTTAATTTGCAATAACATTTATCTAATTGTACTCGTACCCTTAATTTGCAATAACACTTATCTAATTGTACTCGACGTAAATTTAATTACGATGAGTTTTCTAGTTGAAGAGAAGCCTCTTACGTCTTTCACATATCACTTACGATTTTTGCTTCAGCGATTTTGAAAATAGAGTAACTGTCCTTATTAGTGTGCTTTTATATTTAAATAAGTCATAAAAATAAATCGATACAAATATATAGGCAAAGTATTTTTTTATTAAGTTAATATGTATTAACTTTATAAAAAAAATACCTTGTCTTTTTTGTACCAGTTTAGTTTTATGACTTATTTAAATATAAAAGCACACTAATAGGTACAGGGCACACTAATAGTTACCCTAATCTTTGTCTTTTTTTGTTTTCGTTTACAGATTAACACATCGCCATGACGAACTCGAAGGGCTACAGGCGCGGCACGAGGGACTTGTTCTCCCGCAAGTTCCGCAAACATGGAACCATCCCCCTGTCCACGTACATGAAGACGTACAAGGTCGGCGATATCGTGGACATCAAGGGAAACGGTGCCGTGCAGAAGGGTATGCCGTACAAGGTCTACCACGGCAAGACCGGCCGCGTGTTCAACGTGACGGCGCACGCCCTGGGCGTGATCGTGAACAAGAGGGTGCGCGGGCGTATCATCGCCAAGAGGATCAACGTGCGCATCGAGCATCTGAGCCACTCCAAGTGCAGGGACGACTTCCTCAAGCGCGTCAAGGAGAACGAAAGGCTCAGGAAGGAGGCGAAGGAGAAGAAAATTCGCGTTCAGCTGAAGAGGCAGCCCGCCGAGCCATCCAAGGCTCACATCGTGTCGGGGCGCGAGGCGCCTATTTTACTTGCGCCCGTTCCATACGAATTTATCGCTTAAAATATTAAATAAACCAAAATTTTCAAAGTAAGGACTTGCGTTATTATTCCCGACGTCGCTATCGCAACTTAAAGGAGAGTCAGATTAACCGAGTAAAATAATTGATATTTTTCTGAGAACACTATTAATGAATGAAATACGAATACTTTTTGTTTTGGAAGCAAATTTTACTTTAACTTTATGGTACAAGTATATCGCTGTATTCAGTGCGACGAAAGAATGAAAAATACACTCTCATAACAATATTTTTATTCTCAGTCATATCTTTACATCTTTGTATAGAATCTGATAGTGCTTCCAACGTTTCTCTTTATATCAATGGACACGTTATGTTATATCGTAATAACGTAAATTACTCATTCTCTTCGAAAGGCGGGGACTAGCTTTTGAACATAAATAAATATAAAGCATTACCTAATACAAATCTGCTTCCAATTTTTCTCCAACTCCCTGCTGGTTTTGTACAAACCAAAAAAATTCTATACAAAATTTGGACAAATTATGGAACTACGTTTCGCTTTCTCTTTCTATAAATTCTACGAGCCGAAACATCGTTCATCGTACATCATTCCCATAAATAATCTGACAGACTATTAGAACATTCAAAAATTCACATGCACCGCGCGCTCTGTTGAAATACGAAATTAGCGTATAGGAGTGCTTAATCTTCAATTGCTATTCATATTAAACTTTAACTACAATCTCGCGATTGGTAGAACAGGATATAACCAGTTTCAGAGCTCTTCTGAATATCCGACGTGAGTCCATAAAAATCTTCTATAGTTGACGCATCAATTTTCTGTAGCGACAGATAAAGACACTTATTAATATCTTTTCTAAATTGTGTGTGTGTGTGGTGTGTGTGTGTATTTCGTCTATAACAAATTAAATTGGAAGGACAATACCGGTCATATGGCAGGATCTTAGTGCTTTAAATATTCCTATGTGATTTGTTGAAACTAGAATATGTTTGTAATATCACATAGAAATATTAGAAACACCTGCCATATGATCGGTATTGGCCTTCTTTCAATTTAATTTCCTTTTGAAATGTTTATACGCTGTGCGGGGGTTAAGGCAAGTAAAGCAGAAACACTTACGTCGACCATGTCATCGTCGAAGAGCAACCAGAATCCATGACTTTTAACTATAGAAATGTAATGCCCTCGGTTAGGCCCACTTCCACAATGTATCACAACTGCCACCAGATCATACAAGCGATCTGGGTTTACAGCATCATCACTCTACGATCAAAATAATTATACATTATTTAAGCATTGAAATAATCAATTTAAAAGAAAGTGTATGTCTGCGAATTATTACGTGAATATTATATTCTGTGAGTACTAACAGTATTGAAAAGTCTGAGCTCCAGTGGAAAAACTACTCTGTGAGATACTTTTATGTGGCGATTATACTGTTCCACATACTTAAATCTCTTTAGATGTAACGCTAGTATCATAGGTAGTTTCTTCACTCTCATTCGTTTCTGTAATTCAAAACGGTCATTTTAGGTTATTTAAAGGAATAAATTATGCGATTTTTTTATCGGGAAAGGATAAATCAACGACAGATCAAACGACGTGTTATCAATACCTGAGCTTCCTGGTAACTGCTGCAGTGATCGCATTTGAATTTGTTGTCACTACACAGGGTCTCTGTATTGGAGAAGCATCTGAGGCAGTGTGTGATCGAAGTATTCTGATCTACGTCGACTTGCAGATCGAAGAAGTCCTCGTCTTTGCTAGAAACAGTCTCACAGTTAAGGCAGCGTGTTTCCGACGTCAGTATCCCTTGGAATATCTCGTGCACCCATGTGGGCTCCGGTGGCGAACCTGCAGCATCCCCTGCCCCACACTTTCCTCCAATCGGCTTGCTCTGAGTTCTCTCCGCTGATACGTGAAATCACGACTAGTAAATACTTATGCTATCCGGATGCCATCCGCAGGGACGGAGACTTTCTTATAAAGAGTATGGAGCTTTCCACATCCAGAGATCCCATGGGTGTGGAATTCCACACCCTGAATTTGGGGTATTTAGAAAAAAATTTTTACATAATTATCTAAATGATTCTTGCGTGATGTCGAGATAAAATTAAAAGAAAAATATTTATATTTGTAAAGAAAAAATATGAAAAGAAATTAAATATAGAAGTAGAAATATATTTCGACATACAACAGAAAAGATAAAATATTTGTGTTATTACCCCCCCCCCTCTCTTCTCCCACTTAGATGAGGTACTCCACACCCAGAAAATTAAAAAATCTCCGTCCCTGGCCATTCAAAAGCGATAAGCGAATATACTCACCCAGAATAATTTCATTTATGTGATTTATAAGGAAGTTTAAAAACTCGTGCGCATCTTGTTGCATGTAATTATCAAATTCCTCTGAAAAAAAAAGAAGATATTGAAGTTGCGACAATGTTATGACAAAATATGAATCCGCATCCCGCAAAAATCACTGACCTTTCTCTTTCCTCAATCTGGCGATAAACTTCTTTGGCGCTATGGAGCCTACTTTTTTCTTTTGAGTTGCGATACTGTAAAATAGATCTGCCAGGCATGTTAGCAGGGTTTCCTTAGTTCGCTTGTTTCTGGCTTTGTATTCCAAGACCTTTTCTCTAAACGGTCGACAAAAATATAAAGCTTGTAGCACTGAGTTGCTGTAACACGTGTTACCAAACTGCAAGAATACATTTTCATTACAGATATAGCGAACGCGGAGTCTTCTCGTCGCTAAGTCGATTTCATCTTGTGCAGAGTTACACTTACATTGACTAAACCAAAGTAATGTTCATTAGGTGGAAACTGATCGGAGCCAATATCTCTTTCCAATTGCGATATGGTTGTACCCTGGAATCGTAAACATCGGTATAAGAATGCAAACTGTTCAATACTTATCATATCATAACGATGTTACATAACGTGTCAATATCAACGTTTACATCAAATTAGAAATCAAGGGCCGAGGTGATTTTATTTTACTCAAATGTATATGAGATCGAAACACACGATGAGAATTGACGATTATGTAAAAAAATTAGCGTAATTAGATGTAAAAGTCACGAGGTTTGTGTACATGATTACGTTACTGTTTCAAAAGCTATCACATAGCTATTAAGGAATTAATAATGATCAAATTCGAAGCGCGACACATGACGATTCCTCGACGTGTCTCTACTTCCGTGTTTACGAGCCACGTGGAATATAATACATTATATTTTCACGGTGCAGCGTGACGTTTCTCGTTCCTCGCGAAGAGTTGCAGACCGAGCGATCGCGACCACAGCGTAATGCGGGATCGAGTGTCCGAGGCTAGGAGGCGATTGAATTCCACTCTTATCTCCGTCCTCTCGGCGAGGATCATTTTTCCAAGGGAACGAGGAGGAGGAGGAGGTGGTGGTGGAGGAGGGAGGAGGGCCTTACCATTTTATGACACGGTGACGCGAGCGTGACACTGGCAAGCACTTAGCACGGACTTCAGCAACGGCGTAAACTCCATCGTACTGCGACGGACGAGGAGCTGACCGGGAGAGTCGGCTGTCTGTCGGCTAGAGCATCTCCGTCGCGGAGAGGGGTGGGGGAGGGGGAGGACGAGGTGGAACCGTCGTCGCGCTGCAACAAAACGGGGCGCCGCTTCCTGCAGGCGCCGCGCCGTTCCACGTGGAGATCGCGAGATCCCGTCGCGTCGCGTCCCCGACGTGTCGCGCGACCCGATCGCAGATCGCGGGGGTAGAGACAGCTATAGGTAGACCGGGGGGAGGGTGATTCAGGGTGATGGACAGGTGTTGAAGGTGGCCGCGCGGCGAGAGGCCTGCCGACGTGTGCACGCGCGTTCGATGCTCGCGACGAATCACCGAGTACGAATTAGCCGGAACCGAACCGAACCCCCGATTCCGTCGCGCGCCGTGCGAATGTTTTCCGCAAGCGATCAAAACCTGCGAGCCCTGCCTGCTCTATGTCATATCGGAGCATTCGGACTATTCGGAGCGAGCCGCGCAGCGGCGGGCGGCGGGCGTGCGGGCGGCGAAAGGGGGTGGTCTTCTACCCCCTCCCTCCCCCCCCTTCCCACACCGTTAGAACAAGATACGTAGATGGTTGGCGACTAGTTGTCTTTGCTCGGGGCTTCTGATTGGTGGACGATTGTAACACAACGTGACTAAAAACACCGACGAGATACTGTTAAAGACCGTCAGTCCTGGGCAAATTTTCGTGCCAGGCAAAGGGCCCGGCGGGCCCGGAGGTAATTGCAGAGTGTCGATGTTATCGACTTTTGACATAAATTTGCGATTTATTTGAATAATACATTATTAAGATCATGATTTTTATCATATAAATGCTTTATAAATAAGTACGGATACTTATAATGCTATAATATCAAATATATTGCCGCAAAATTAAATTTTTTTCCAACTGTTTTACCATCTTTCTAGATAATTAAACTCGTATGGTAACTATAAAAATGCAGTTTTAAATAAAATTATATAACTATTATAGCAAGTTATAATACAGATGAATTATAATATACATGTCTAAAAAACATTGATCTAACAATAAATCATTAAATTAATATTATATTATTACTAATTGCTTAAATTTTAGCAATTACTAAACAGCCACGCTAACTCCCGTAAGGATGTCGATCTTTAATAGTACCTCGTCGGTGCTAAAAACAACATGAGACTTTCAATCGGTTTCAGAGAGAATTCATACTTTGCAGGGAGATTTTTGAATTTTCTGAGTGTGGAGTACCTCATAGGGAGGGGAGGGGGGAGGGGCAATAACACAAATATTTTATCCTTTCTGTTGTATGTCGAAATATATGTCTACTTCTATGTTTAATTTCTTTTCTTATTTTTTTTTTACAAATATAAATATTTTTCTTTTAATTTTATCTCGATATCACGCAAGAATTAGTTCATTTAGATAATTATTTAAAAAAAAATTTTTTTTAAATACCCCGAGAACAGGGTGGAATTCCACACCCACGGGATTTCTGGATGTGAAAAGCTCCATATCCTCTCCATAAAGAAGTCTCCGTCCCTGACACTTTGACAGACAGAAAAGCAGAAGCCAATCAGAACTCGCTCTGGTAGCAAGAAAAGCAGAAAGCAGACTACTGGTTGACTACCAGCGCGAGTTCTGATTGGTTTCTGCTTTTCTGTATCAAGATGTGAATTCTCCCTCATACAATTTTCACACATGTGCTTCATATGTGTGATTTCATGTTTTGTATTTTCGGTACTATTTATATCTCAATTAAGAACACCTCTGTAGCGGTAATACCTTTTTTATGCACATAGGAATATTAAGTGCGTTTAAAGCGATCGATTAAGGTATCTTTTCGTATGCTGATGCGGACCTGCAATTAATGACGCGGGCAATTATAGATGCCACTCGCGGTAGTCGATAGATGTGATAAAAAAAAATTATGCATCAATTTTGATCGCGTTTTGATCTGTTTTAACGCTAGAGATGTGCGTCGAACGTGAAAATGCTCCTTGAATTTTTGTCGAACGTGCTCATTGGCTGCTAACGCGCATGCGGGCATACAACATGGCTGTATTCCGGTTTTTACTGATCGTACGATAAATACGATTTTACAATTGCAGTCACAGACTTCTAAATGATTTTTCAATACTGCCTATATACCGATAGTTTATACTTCAAGCAATATATTTTATTACCTACATGGAAAGTGAAAATGTTATTCGATTCGAATGTAACGAATTGCATTTGTACGGCCGTACTATAGCAGCTCTTTTAATGTCCATTCGTATATTAATATATAGATTAATTTTAATCTCGACTTAACTCATTTATCTCTTTTTAGTTCTAGGAATTAGAAAAAGAATAAATTAAACCGAGAGTTTAAGTTAATTTACATTAGTAAAAATGGACAAATTCTATAGTTGCGCTTGAACAGTTATATTTATTATATCGTACCGTAAACAATATACATGTAATTCCGAAATCTTATAACATTGAAAAATGAATAAGTTGATTCCTATTAAATTAAATATGTTATTAAAATGACAAATCGTCGCATTAACCAGTGGTCGTTTTACATTAAGAATTTGAATTTGAATTTAAATTGCCGCGAGGCCCATATCTTGCGCATGTAAACCCATCATGATTTTAATTGGCAGAATATGAAAATTTCTAATCAAAAACCATTTTCTATTTCAGGCGCTTGATGTAAAAAAAATGCGTCATATAAAATTATAAAAAGAGGAGACTGAATTTAACTTAATTAATATATTTAATTGGAGGATATTATAAGGGGATCATGAAAAAGAATTTTGTGTTGTATCGGACGAATTCATCTGCGCTTGCAGACTCGATCGGTAATTAATATACATTCGACTCGATGGTCCTTGAAATCAGAATTTAGATAATTCCGACTACCTGGATCTCTGCAGAATACCTACTGCGTGTACCTTGCGGCTGAGGTGATTACCACTGAAAAAAGTAATCTTGCAATTATAGCGAGAATTATTTAAGTACGAAAAATTAGCTAAACCGGATAAGTGATTAGTAAGCACTGCCATACCACATATATTTTATATTTAATCAATATAGATAACAGAGACAGAAATTATATCTGAACTATATTTGTCAAATTTAGCAAGAAAATTTCTCTATGACGTTTAATTAGTCCAGACTTCAATCATATTTGATTATGAGAGACCTATATTTTCTTGCATATATTCTTAGAATATTGCTGCTGTAAATTCTACGTATGACAAACAATTTTGTAGCAGATACAAAAAACAGCGATATAATTTAAGTGTAATATTTAGAATTCTAGCTGGAACAGCGAAACATTTCCCTGAGTGTCCGAGCCGGTGGCGGAGAGTTTGGAGTCGGAGTCGGATGGTGGAGCGCGAGCCGGTGCGTGCCGCCCGCCACAGTCACAGGCCACACAGCCAGTCACTCGCCGGCTGCCGGTGCAAAATGTCGTGATTGCGCGTGACTCGCGTCCGTTGCCGCTTTCCACACGCTTGCCGCTGCCTGAAACTCTCACCGTTCTATACGCGTACGCGACGCGTTCCTCGCGTTCCGCAGTGCACGGGGAATAATACCGTTTCGCGCGAATACGCGAGGGAACTGTCTATACAAGTGTCTCGCAGCCGCGAAGAAGAGAGATCTCGCCGTGAGGCGATCGAGCGAGAATCGCGTTCGCCGCCGCGCCGCGCGTTCGTTTCCTCTCGCGACTGGAGAGGAGCGTTCAGCCGCGCGGGCTTCGAAATCCGCGTGTGTCGGTGGCATATAGGCGTCTCTCGGTGCAGGAAGGCGCGTTTGTGAGGCCCAATGTGATGACGCGCGAGTGAGAGAGAGAGAGAGAGAGAATAAAGAGAACGGAGCGGAGCCCCGACGAGAAGCGGAGTTTCGGAGGCGTCGAGCGCGCGTCGCGCGCGACGGCGATTTGTGGCCTGTGTTGCTTATAGTGCGCCCCCGTCATCGCACGCCGCGAGTGCATCCCGCGATACCGCGCGGAGTGTGTTTACCTTCGACGACCACCTGTTGCGCGGCTACAAACCGCGCGCGCACGTACCTCCCTCCCCCCCCCTCCCCCTGTGTGTCACGTTGGATTAACCGGATTACGCACGCCGCCCGGCCGAGACGCGCGGATAAATCATCAACCGTGAAGACCGCATCAGTTAAAGACACCGCGAAAGAAAAGGTAAGGGCGAGCGCAGCGGCGAGCGCGGCGAGCGAGCGATCTCCGCGCGAGCTTTCCCCATCGCGGAGTGAACGGCGTGCGCCGCGCGCGCGGCACCTTCGCGATCGTTGTGTATATTATAATCGGCATGTATAACGTCGACGCTAATTCGCGTGCCGCCCCTCGCGCCTCGCAGACTGTTAATGAAATGAACGCAACGTACGTTTTTGATATCGTCGGCGCTCACGTTTACGCGCGCAGCCGTCCGACCGTCCCCCCCCCCCCCCTCCCACCCGGCGTGGCGCGGCGCGGCGCGCCGCGAACTTGACGCGATGCGCGACGCAAAGGCGCTTGCATTTTTTTTTTTGCATTTTGTAAATTACGATGAAACGATCGCCTCGACAATAACGGTTGAATAATCGAGAAATTTGTTACACGTCGCGCTCGTTATTGGGATTCTGCAATGGAGATCAATTAGATATCGTTCCGATCGATGATGTGACGATGAAAATTATAGGAGTCGTCGCTAGTTTTTTTTAGTGATGCTACGAATTGCTTTTGGAATATTTAATGTCAAGGTATTTAATATGAATATGACAATGAATAAAAATTTGAATAGTGTATGTATATGTATGTATACATATATCTTGTATCTATCGAGATGCAATACAATTTGCGCAATTTCGAATTTTAAATTTAATTGCCGCATTATATTTTGAAAATTATATTTATAATATATGCTTTTATATGCATATACATGTACATGTATACATTATATATATACACAAAGGTCACTCTTAAAAAAGAGAAGGGGGAAAGCATGAAGAGGAGAAGAGAGGGAGGAAAGAGGGAGAGAAAAGAGAGAGGTCGTGGAACTTCTGCTTATTCTTACATATTTTAATATGAATTTCAAATGAACTTATCACAGCAAGATTTAGCGTAAACTATTATTATTATTATTATTGGCATCTGGCAACATTTTAAATTACTCGAATAACTCATTTCCGATTCTTCTCATTGAATTAAATTCACCGATTTGATATTTACCGAATTATTATATATATATATACATACGCATAATAATACAAAGTATGCAGAGAGTACGTGAAAGAATTGGAAGGAGAGAGCGCTTATTCAAATATCCAAAATCACGCGCGACGTGATACACATAATAATACAAATATGGACTTTCCAATATTTTTCCTCCACAAAGTACGCACGTGCGTGGAGGTGCACGCGCTGCACGACACGCATACCCTGCGCGTTTGTGCACCACGCGCGTGGTGCGTTCACATATACATATATATGTATATACATACATTCGCATATTCAACGTGGTGTATGACATCACATCGCCGAATGAAATGAGCCGCGCGCGTATAGAGTGTGACGCGGTATAGGTACCAAGGCAGCGCGTACCGAAACGGTGCAGTGCAGCGGCGTGGCAAAGCAACAAAGAGGAGATTGCAATGGCCCCGCGCGAACTGGCGAGGTCCGGCTGGGTGGGTGAGGGACGGTCGGGCGGGGGGAGGGGGACAAGGAGGGAGGGAAGCAAGTAGAAGGGCCAGAGAGCCCAGGAGCAGCCCGCGAGATGATGCGAGAGAGGGTTGGCGGGGGGGGAGGGGGGAGAAGAGGGAGGGGTTGGGCGGAAGGTAAAGGTACGCAAGAGCGCGCATTCCACGGCGGACGCGCATGCGCGCCCGCTCGCGATTTCTGCGGATTTACTACTAGCCGCCCCGCGGTATTCGCTGCACATTCGCTCAACTCGCGTCGTCCGCGTCGTCGAGAACCGAGGTTGTCTGATGCGAGGTTGCGTTTAGGCGTTAGAAGAATACCGGCGGCGGCGATTTACGGGATATTCCGACGGAGCTCGGGGATTCCTCGGATTACTCTATCGTATAATCAGTCTCGATAATTTTCAGTACCATCGAAAAAAAACAAACAATGGAGAATAAACACATTTCAGCTAGTTAAATGGGATAATTTATGTAAGAAGGATTATCCTCTGATCGCATACCTACATCTTGTTGTTTTCTACGCTACTGCGCCGCATGAAAGTGCATAGAATCGCGCGCGCGCGGGCATGACTATAGCAGTACAGAAATACCTGGATTGTAGGCGCGGAACGGTTTTACAGTCGTTGACGCTATCTATCGCATTTATAACGCGATTGAATATTAATATCCGTGGAACGGTAGATTCGCGGTGTCGCCAGTCATCGTTCCGAGGCCCCTCCTCTCCCCGCACCGCGCGCACGTAGAAAATACGACGATTACAAAATCCTCTCGGAGGTTCCTCTTATCCAGCTTTTTTTTTCTCCGTGAATCATGCACGGCTAATTTAATCTTTTTCCAAGTAATGTCTCGTGCTCACGTAATTAACATTAACAATTTGCTCTAACACATCTGGAAAGCATTTAAAAAAGCAACTTTATTCCACTCCAAGGAAATAGCATCTAACAGAACAATTTTTTTCGTCGGCCTGGTATTAATATGTGCTCGAAACACCACGAAAATGATGTTTCCATAATACTCCATATCGCCTGTACATTATTATTTACAAATAGTTTAGTGAAATAATAGGCTTACTAGAATATATCAAACATATTAAAGTAGAGGCCGTATGCCAGCCAACACGGATGATGGTGTGTAATAATTTTTTCAAATAATATCCAATCACAAAAAAATTGTTTAAAAAAATTATTACACATCATCATCCGTGTTGGCTCGCATACGGCGTCTACTTTAATATGATTATTATTTACAGTTTTAAAATTACCATCGCCTTATCGATTCAATTATTCAAACTCTACACGATACTTTTAGTGGACTTTTTAATTAAAAAAAAAAAACATTTTTAAAACAGTTATATTTGCATTCAAAATATGCGTTACATGCGATTGAAATTAATACTACATATCTTGTGAGCTATTTATATAACTTCGCAAGAATACATGATTTATATTTTTATAGTAGTAGAGGGGAGAATACATATACTTGTTGGCATGTACATGCAAATAAATCTCATTCAGATTTCTCGCGATAGCGAATAAATAATACTCCGTGGTTTCATGAAACATTTCTCCATCGCCTGGACATGACGAACAATACGACATGTAACATGACACGATAACGATATGACAAAAAAAAACAATTTAAAAGCGGAAACGAAAGATTTGATCCGCAGGCAGGACTGGGCAAAATACATCATTAAAGTATTTAAAATACAAAATACAAAATACTGGCAATTTTAGTATTTGAATTACAAAATATAAAATACTTTTAATCTTTCGATTTAAAATACAAAATACAAAATACTTTCAATCTTACGATTTGAAATACAAAATACTTTTTAATTTAATCTTTCAATTACAATATTATTAAATTCCCCCCTCCAACAATTTCCTCTCTACTTTTAGAGAGTGAAAGAAAAGTTGTTTTACTCTCTTACACTCTTTAACAGTTCTGTTGTTCTGTATCAACCGCACGAGAAATCTATTTACTACTGTGAGATTATGAAATTTTGATTCTTGATATTTCTTGAAACTTGACTTGATATAACTTGAAACTTGAAAATAATTAGTGTCGCTAATTGTCATATGAGAAAAATTTGTCAAAAATTTTTATCAATAATTTCTTTAGTATTTCAAATATAAAATAGATTGAAATTGTATTTGAAATATAAAATACAAAATACTTTTATGTGTCTTCTGAAATACAAATTGTATTTCAAATACTGTATTTCAAATACAAGTATTTGAAATATGCCCAGTCCTGTTCGCGGGTGTGGCATTGAAGGAATTAACACAGAAATAGCGTAGGGAAACAGCGTATCCGACTCGGTTTCCGGTACGACGAGGCGAGGAAGAGAGAGAGAGAAAAGAGCCCTCGACCTTGCATTGTAGCGCGACGGAATGTTTTGGGCTACGTGACCTAACGTTCTACCGATATTATAAGTTATTAACCCCAAATATGTGTGTGCGCGCGCGCGCGCGCGCTATCGCTATGTGTCAGCTCAGATCTCGCTTTTGTGTGCGTGTGTCGCGCACCCTTTTAGGTCCGACCTATGCACCATGGTGTGTGTTTGCTCTGTGTAAATAACCGGCGCACAAAATATCTTTCGAGGCTGAGTTGGAGGCCGTTATGACCCGGTAAATAATGCCCGATGATTTTTTTTTCGCTTTGCAAAACCGACGTGGCACGCAGACCGACGCGTATGTGCGCCGCACTGAAAATATTTGTCCCCGCACGAAAGAGCACGGATACACGTTAAATCTGTCTGCGATTCAACCGCGAAATAATGCCCGCTCAAGTTCGATATGGAAAAAGATAACGAAACTGCTATCGCCGAGAGATGTCTAGCATTCCAGAATATTTTTATTACTGAACGTCTTCGATTTGTGAGCTAATTAAATTACTACATGAATCTTGAATTCTTGTATATTTTTTCAGTAAAAATTTGCTCGAATATTATCATTTTACAATGTTTAATTAAATTGACTGAGATATTAGTCTTCATGTAACTAAATCTCGAGCAGAAAATGATGAAATAAACTCGTGGTATGCATCCACATACGTAATTATGTTAGAAAAACAAACAGCCAATATGGATTTTTTTTTCTTTTTCAGAAAAATTATTGGTAGAGAAACAATTAAATGATAGATAATTTAATCGTCTTTTTTTATTTTGTTAAATATTCAAAAAGATATCCATTAATATCCAAACATTTGTTTAACAAAAGTACGATGTCATCGTATAATCAAATGCCGCTGATAATTCTTTTTATATTGGTCAATAATTATTCATTATTATAATGAATGACTGACAAACACTTTTCACGGAGTAATCATAAAAAAAGCTTTCGGTACCGTTCTTCAGCATTTTTTAAATTGTTAAAATTGTATTGATCAAAAATTCTTCAATATCAGGAGACATACGAAGAAAAATATTTGCTGGTATAGCACGTTTTGTGCTGTCATTGTGAATTTCATCAGTTTTTACATGGGCAATAAAAAGACTTGTTAAGAATACTAATTTTATTAACTACTATTTTGACTAAAAATGTGATTTTGCCGAATTTGTAAACTATTTTTACATAAAATCAAATTGATTCTTATTTCGTGACTATTATTGAGATAATGACAGTTTCTTTAATTGCAAAATATAATTCTTTCACTAGCTAAGCGTTTGCTAAAGGTGGACTAATTAACTTTAAATATATTGAACACATACATATTTTTATATATAAATTTATTGAATAATATTTTTTCATTTTACTAACGCAGATTGCCGTATCGAATAATTGATTAGCATAAGAAACTCTAGATCTTTTTCATATTGAATGTGAAACCATAGTTAGATCTGCTTTATTGCGACAGAAAAATTTCTTTATGAAGGACTCTTGATTTTGACCTAATTGGGATTAGGTCAAGGCAATGCTAACTTTGTCACGATAAATTCTATTCCCACCGACAACATTGTCTCAATACGCAAAAAAATATACGAACATCTTAAACAATAAATTGATAGTAAATAATATAATAATATATTTGAGATTTTTTACATAAAACATAAATTTCGCGTTTGTCTAAACGCTCGCGATTTATACTGCCATTGTTATAATTAGACGCATCTAAAATAACATATATCTGAAATGTATTTTAATATAATATATATTGAATTTCAAGTGACTTTAACTTTGACAAAATTATTTATTAATTATGATAGTATAAATTTTGATCGTCGCCGATTATATTAAAATAAGAATACATATATTAAATAATACATTCACCTGAAATTTTATTCAAATAATGAAACCAAGTAAAAAAATTTGTTTGTGATACACAATTTTAAATAAGACTACATCGCCGTATCTGAAACAACTACAACTCCACATGTGTATTAGAGCTAATATTTTAATTCTGACACGGCCGTGGCGTGCAGTATGTGCTCAAGTGGTATGCAGTCTCAAAAGTGGGCTGCTCTTGGCTATCCGCGTGCATCGTGGAATCCGGCTACCTGGTGAAAGTACCACTACCTTCGCGGGCTCTCTATGCGCATCCAAGCGAGCATGTGTATCTGTGCTAAGCATGAGGTGGGACGCCATCGGAATAACGCCAATGGAGTGTCAATGCACTCTATTGTGTCATCCGCCACTAACTGTGAGATAATGTATATCGTATAGCTGCCGGTTGTCTACCCGAGAATCTCGACAGTGCAGATTTGATATAATCTGTTTCAATGTGTGACATTAAACATCTTAAAATATTTCGCGATCGCGAAATATTGTAGTGTACTCTATATAAATTAAAATGAAATGGTAAAGCATATTAGAGTAAGCATTAATACCAAGTAAAGTAAAAATAATAACTTATATCCTTCTTTACATTTTCATTAAAGGCATGATAAAATACAAGAACTAAATTTGCATTATTTTCAAATTGTTTAATTATCTCGACGTTAAATTCGAAAAAGATACATACATGATAATTCTTAATTACCGTTTCGCTATAAATTCTGCTGGCAAATTTCTAAGCAACATATAGTTGGCAAAACTCGAGCAAAATAAGCTTGACATTGTTAGCCAACCGTGTTGAATGATAACATAATGGAATACCTGACAGCATTTAGTCGTGCATAGTTTGTACTTATACAATAGAATGAGATGTTTATGAAAACCGTATTGTTACAGTCACATGTTATTTAAAATGGAAGAGTCGTGATATTTTATAAATTGAAAATGTTAGGTATTATCGGTACGATTTGTGTTTCATGTAATTAAAAGACTCAAAAAATTAAGACATACTAAAGGTAGACCTTAAAAGGTGCGTTCGCGGTCAGTGAGAATGGAAAATGCTGTCCACGCAATACGTAAACGCATTCGACGCAATCCGTTGTGTAAACAAAAAATCGTGATAAGAAAAGTGAACATTTCAGCCCGCATAATTTCGAATTGCACTCCAGATTTACAAATGGAAGTGTATACAACAGGTGGCTGCTTATACTAACGGGTAAATTAAAATAAACACGCATGCTACAAACATACAGGTGAATCCGATATTTATTGAAGCCGAAAATTAATCTTACCGTAATCCCAATTTGAATCCTTTGATTAAAAATTGCGTGCGATATGTTAGAAGAAAAGACTAAAGACATGCAAATTTACAGCGTTTAGAACGAGGAATAAAATATCGGTTTTAAATATTATTTTAAATTTCTTGGATGGTCTTCAAGATCAATGACCTTCGTGAGATCTTAATTGATCTTAAGTGAGAAATTATAAGATCTATTTATAATTAATATAGCGTTAATAAAAATCTATTAGAAATGAAGATCACTTAACCTACGTTTTTCTTGTTTCATCTTTAAAACTAAAAAATACATTAGCAATAGATAATTTAAAAATCGCTTATTATTTATTAATTGCAACATGAATGAAGGACATAAACATTCAAAGATTTGAAAAAATATCGGAGAAAAAATAACTCTCCCCCTCTTCTTAATCTATTTTGCTCAATAAACAACTGATAATTGAATATAATGATAATCATTTTCAATGGGATGCAAATATTGAAATATCGATATTTACTTTCATTTTTATATTAGATATTCCTATAATACTATAACACTCGAATAACTCGCGTTAATTTCATCAATAATATATCCGAAAGGAACGCATCGAGCGCATCGGCAAGTTTTACTAAAGCAAGACGAAGAGAGGAGAGTGCGAGATATTTCTCTCAACGGGTATTTCTTTCAAGCGAGTATTCCCGGTTAATTTTACCGAGCCCTAAGGAGCGCGTGCGAAGGATCGACGAAGGATAATGCTAGCGGGGCTCATCGGTTGGACGTTGGCTTGAAGCGGACGAAGGACGCCCGCATTCCACGCCACAACCTGGTATAATGCGAAGAATTGGCCGTACAGAAGGAGGAAGCGAGAGATAAAATGAAACGTGAATAGCAGTGAAGAGAGAAGGATAAAAGAGAAAGATAAGAGAGAAAGAGAAGACAGAAAAAGAGAGAGAAGGAGAGAGAGGGAGAGAGAAAGAGAAAGAAGGAGAGAGAGAAAGAGAGAGAGAGGAAGTGAGATAAAAAAAGAAGAGAAGTTAAGGAAGATGGAAGCCAGAGTGGAAGAAAGAGGTCGAAAATGAGAGAGAAAAAAGAAAAACGCGGGAGAAACGAAGTTTCGAGAGGAAGAAGGAGAAAGGCGAAACTGGAAACAGCTGTGCGAAGACTTATCTATATCTATCCTCTTATTCTTCTTCTCCTTTAGCTATTTTTTCTTCTATTCATTCCGTATTTTCTTTTACATATCCCCTCTTTCTTCTCTTCTTTTTCTCTTTTTTCTTCCCTCACGCTTTTCCTTTTCTCCATTTCTTTTCGTTCATCTAACTTTCTTTACGTACTCAATTTATTGATGGAAATTTAAAATTACTTTTAAAGTTTTCGAATAATTTAATCATATACTTAAAGATTCGGATTACTTTGAATACTATGCTACAAAAAGAAATTTTGTAAGGCTTCAAAACATCTTGAAAACTTTAATGTTTGAAACTTTGAAATGTAAAAAATTTTAGATGCTGAAAGCAATTCTATTCCAATATCTTGGAAATATTTCTTAGAAGTGTTTTGAACATTTTTAAAATATTTTACATTTCTTTGAAATTTCTTGTTATCTTTGTCTATTGTAGCACAAAAGATTAAAATAATGTCAAGTGTTACGAAAAAAACAAAAGTTAAAGTTTATTAAAATATTTAGGACACTTTTAAGATTATCAGAAATCTTTCGATTTCGAATTAATATTCAAAATGATTCGAAATTTCAAAAATTCATATATTAGAACGATTGTCCTGTGATTCGACGTTTCTTAAGCCCATCGCTATTTTCATCCCTACCCTCTCTCGTGCCGCGACCGCGTGCTTCCGACAAAGTAAACCAGCATGCGCGTTATTTTGCAAGTATGTATCTCGCGGAGTACTGTATATAACAGAGTGCATGCTCGGGCGTAATTGGGATTCCTCCTTTCGCGAAGTTGACTGCCGCTAGCCTGCAACTGTTGCTGCCATCGTGCATCGGAGTAGGTTATCGTCGATGGCTTTCACCGGCGCGCATAAGCAATGACAAGGAAAATGGATAAAATAGAAGAGCGTTTTGATCGCGATTCTCCACGGCTATGCATAATAAAGGGGTGATCCGTTAACGTTATTATACAAATCTTATAAAAGAGCGGGAAAGTGGAGTTACGTGAAAGACGATAAGACGAATATAAAGTTTAGTATTGCTTGCGATGTTATAATTAAAGTTGAATATAAGAAAATACGGAGAATTCGAACAGAATTTTGGATAGATAAGTAACGGTGGTGTTTGCGAATTAAAAATATATAATTCGATTACCAGTCGACAGAATTTCTTTACGCGTAATATATGCGTCGTGGATCTTTTGAGCGGCGAAGCATTTCGGGACGGCAGAATAGGGCAGAGCTGCACATGCAGACAGGACAGGGCAGGGGCACAGGCTTCGTATTTTCGTGGCTGTCCGACTTAAGCAGAGGAATATCCTGATGAGATTATAATGTGAATATAATGACAAGCTCCCGAGCTCCCGAGCTACGCGTCCCATGCGGATCCACTCTTTCGATTTCGTCTCGACCGCGCGCGATGACTATGCGCTTAATCCATAACGTACAGTCTGCCCATCTCCGGGCCTTGAATCAGTCCCTGCGAAGGGGCCAATATAAACGAAGGAATAAAACAATGACGAGTTCCTAAGACGTTCGTATTGCCTAAACCATCGCGCGCGCGCGCGCGCGTTGTTCTCGAGAGCGCGACTATAGTGCTGCGATTACATTCCTTTTTCTTCCGTCCCTCTCTCTCTCTTGGGATCAATTAAGAAAATTACAACTATTTGCCACGAAAGCGTTATTACAACTGGGATGATTTACGACTAATCTTCGCGTGTATGCTGTTGCAGGTGGATTCATGAAATAGCAGGCGGAAGATTCAGAAGACGAAGGAATCTAGGTAAGTCGTTTATATATTTTTTAAAATTAATTTTAAATTAATGTTTTTGTATAATAATACTTTTCCTTTCTGCAATATAATTTAATTATGAAAGTATTCCTTGAATTTACATTGCTGTCGAAATATTCTGCGTACTCTTCTTAAAAATATTTCTGGTATTTTGATACAGAATTGTATCTATGCACTGAAACTTCGATATTGATATGAGCAATATCAATTATCTCCAACGGTTTACAAATGGCAAATACAGCTAGACTAAATAGATTAGATAAACGATCGAGTTATTCTAACATTGTTATGTATCAACAGCGAATTCCACACGTACTTATCTATATTATTGCTTTCATTCGAGCAATCCTTGCGTACGCCGAGAAGAAAGATTTGTTTCATGCGAAGAATTTACAGTGAGAATGCAAGTTACGACGGTGGTACCGCAACTCGGTAATTCCATTTAATTGCCGCGAACGTTAGAAGAGTCATATCCGCATACATTACAGCTTCGTACAGCAATGTCATAAACTGTACAGCTTGTTCCAGGCAGGCAGGACACTATACTGTACTCCTTGTTCAAAGAACAAGCGTCGTTTTCTTTGGCAAAATTTTAAGAAGTGCATTATTTTTGAAATTTCTCATTTTTTAATATGTACCAATAAAATGCATTTGTAATCTCTTTTTCGGATAAAAATTTTCATAATATAGAATATATAATATTCTATAAATTTGAAGACATCGACATGAATATATTCTTTAACCATATCATTTCGTCAAAGATGCGAGGAACCGGTGACTGAAATCAGTTTCAACTTATGATCATGTTTTCCTGGTTAAACAGTTTTAATATTGGAGAAACAGAGAGTTCTGCCAAGCAATTTATTGAAAAATCAGATTTAATCCAGATAAGATAGCAAAGCTATATAGCCTAGCTCAACTTCAAGTTTGATATCTATAACCGTAACTTTTGACGCTAACATTTTTTTATATATAACGCTGAGTCTATATTTACAATTTTTTTTTAGATAAACTCGAATATTTTTCTAAAGTGTTTGATTTGTGAACATTCTTGAACCTGAATTCTTATAGGTAGATGAGCGTCACTTTATTCGTTAAAAAAATCAAATTTGCTGAATATTATACTTATTATTATACAATAAAATTTGATTTTGAATTAATATTTCATATTTTAATATTACGTACTGTTACTGACTGAGTTGCTTTTCTGTTTTTACACTTGTAACTCATTTCAACAATACGCAACAATTATTTTGAAACACTTGCGTATAAGATTGCTTTCCAAAAGTAGTTACAATGTGACTACATTAGATCGATTTAAATCGAGATGATGCATTCCTGTAAGAAACGCACAAAACCGGTAGCCATTTCGCGCCCGACAGCTTGAACGACATCTTTATTTTCCCATTCCCGTTGTTCGTCCAATTGCACAGAGCTTTCTTCTTTGATTACTGGGAACACGTTTTCAATTCACACCGCCACGATAAGCGCAGCTTATTGCGGCGACTTATTGAGGCTAAAAAAAAAAGAAAGGAAATGATGTGGAAAGGAGATAAAATCTCTGTTTCTCTGGAATTTTTCACAAGCAGTATTCCGTAATCGAAAATTTCTTAATTTACTGTGCCGAGTGTTGTTCGTTGCGTGATTTAGACACAGATGTAGACGGTATGATGTATCAGCGAATTACACGTATGTTACGCTATCTGTGAAAAGAAATTTTTACCTCTCCTCCGCTTGGACGCGAATTTTCGAAATTTGCTCTTTCGGCGGGTACGTTATTTTGGTGTTATTTCCTTACGTAAGAACTGCATGACGCAGGTCATTGCTTGCGTTTGCTCTGTGTGTCACCGTATGGCGCGCGCTCGCGCGCGCGCACACACCAGTCTGGCGGCATTCCATCGTGATTTGCGAACGTTTCGGTAAAGTGTACAGCGCGCAGTTTGTAGTCCGTAGTGTTTATGTCTGTACGTCGCGAGACTCCCAGCTGGCATTTTCACGCAGTGTGAAATGGCCCAATCTGGTCAATCGTTGAGAAAAATGTTTGTTACACACAGTTATATTTTTGTGGTAACGCGTATTAAAATTATTTATACGTTACGACATAAATATTGATACCTCTAATGAAATTTACCTGCATGCTATTATTTATAGATATAAACACTCAATATGTTTTTATATACAGGAACGCAAATGTGTCTAAATACCTTTTTTCTCAATTATTTATAAATAAGAACGCGAGGCTATAAGTTTTCAATTTTTATTGAATTTTATCGTGTTGCGATATTTATCTGCCTCTCTTCGTTTTTCTATCCGACTTGCCACAATCGGACTTAGCAAAATCAAATCGATTTCGATCGGGTCTTCCCTAAAAATCCATTTTGTTATCCAGCTGACGATCCATCCCGTGATTACGGCAACGAGAAATCCCAGTGGACAGTACCACATATAGGATATGCGATAAAGATAAAAATAGGATTTCTCCGTTTCTCCCTCCATTCTGTAAACGAGAAATCGTTAAATGTTTTCCATTATATTAAGATATAACGTCAGAAGTATGAAATTAGAAGAAATTTTTTTCTTGCACTACGTTAATTTTTTTACACGTTATTAATTATTGTTCTAACCAGTTTCCAATACAAGCTTAGAATTAAAGTTTGGATTAAATGCTATCTACATACTACATCTATGTATATACTTAATTTTTACTCACTGGAGTTCGTAGTATAAGTTTGTGTAATTCGACGATTTCCCATTGCTTCCGTGAAACATAATAGTGTCGTTGAATCCACAACCGTCTGTTGAGACATCCAACCGCGGAATCGGCGGTTTCGGCTGTCCGAATCCTACCCACAAAGAGAACATGAGACTAAGAACGAAGCCCGTGATTGCGCCCCTTTGGTTGCACGACGGCAGGAACATGCCAAGCGTGTATAAGCCCAACATAGGTCCACCTACGACACCAAAGATCGTCAAAGCCGCCTGTAGAAAAAGAAATTTTTATTGAAGCAGAAATTCCTTTAACGATTAAAGGTCTATGTAATTTCCTCTAAAAAATCCATCTGAAATCCATGAAGAATGTTTAAGAGTAAGTGACAAACAAATTCTCGAATCAAATGAATCGATTTTTGATTGATTTAAATTAATTTTTCTACGAGTAACTATTTCTTGCCTGACATGTTTTTACTTACACGACTTATTAGTACCGAAAGCAAGTTTTATTATACCTGCAACAATCCACCGAGGTACTGTGCTAGAAACGCGACCGCCACACACGATATTCCAACTACAAGAGCCAAAATTTTGCTAATGATTATTGACGCCGTAGCAGATAGATCCCTGTTTCTGTAATCAATATTGTTCACGATTTGTACAAAGATTTTATTATTTCTTGATTGGTAATAATTCTTAAAGAGAGAGAGGAAAGAAAGAATGAAAAGAAAAAAGAAGAGAAGGAAAGAACAGAGAGGAAAGAAAAGGGGAAAAGAGAGATGCATCATTTGATTTGTGAAACAGACCTTGGTGAATTTTAGATTAAAAGAAAAGACATCAATATCAAAATATAACAGAGAACATATAATGCCTAATTATTTCCGTTAATTTTAACGATGTTACAAAATATTAATTATATCGTGCGATAATTTTTAATCTTCCGCATTAAATATTTGATTCGTATACGTCTTAATACGTTTCCACATGATGTGATATAAGCGCTCTTCGAAGGATTCAGGTTGCCTTGAATCTAGGTCGTTTTCCGGAACGACTCTGATATACGATGTTATACAATTTTTTCACGCTATCACGACTCTCACCTTACACGCCAGAGCGGCTTGATATAATCTTCAAGAATAACAGCGGCGAGTGAATTAACTGTGGCCGAGATGGTACTGAGGCCGGCACTAAAAATCCCGGCTATGAAAAGCCCAGGCACACCGGGATAATCCGACAGCATGTCCATCACGTACAACGGCATCAGTTGATCATTCGAGCTGATCCTGCCTTCCGTGAGCGGATCGCAGTTACGATATTTCGCATATATCGCTAGTCCAGAAAAGCACAGAGTAAGCGACATGATCGACGCCATCGGCCAGCTCCACCACAACGCGCGCTGAGCGGCTGTTATATTGCTAATAAAATCAAAATGGCGTAAAGTACCTACATACGGGAAATTTGACGATGATATTTTGTATATATATTTAAATATCGATTCTAAATAGACTAATTTCCAATGTTCTTAAACTTAAAATATAAAAATATGGAAAGAAATATGTTCTTAAAGAATTCTATGCCTTGTGTGTTTCACATATTATTTTTGGACTCGATTAATTCGTGTTTGATTGGAAATTATGTCAATCTCGCTTTACCTGACAGTCAGCATTCTTTGAACCTGAACTTGATTAACGCTGTACAAGGAAAGGTAAGTAAAGAAACCACCAAGTGTCAAACTCCACCAAGTATGTCGTACAGTTGGATCCGGAGAGATGCTGCGGGCATACGTAAAAAGTTAAAATAAATAAATGCTTCCTGTGCGCTCGCGTTGACAACTTTATTTTATTAATTTCAACTTGATCAATCAATACGTTACTTTCGATTATCCATCAAACGATCTTTCCGATTTTTAAGATTAGAAATTAGATAATTATGAAGTTTACAGAACACTTTAATTAAACTCTGTTGCTTTTTATCGCAATTATCCTATTACCTGCGATAAATTTTAATTCCTTAATGAAAATATTAATCTATTGTGGTAAGGAAAAAACAAATAAAATTGAAAAATTAATAATTTACTTACTGCAAGCAAAATTATATAATTACATATTCTTATAGAAGTAGAAACACAATGTGGGCTAAGAAAAGTTATAAAAATGTTTTTTGAAATACTTATGTGTTAAGACAATCACTTGTCAAATTCCAACCGAGATCCCTCTGCGGCTATCTGCCAAATTCGGTCTAGACCACCGGTGGCAACAGCCGCGGTGGCGATGACTGTGATAACGGCAATCAACATTAACAGACCCTGGAAAACGTCGGTGATAAGTACCGCCTTAATACCACCGATCGTCGAATAGAAAGTGCAGATGAGTCCTAAACCAATCACACTTGCGGTCGTCGAAATACCCGTGGTGGCTTCTAAGGCCAACGCAGGTGCATACAACACCACACCGGTGTACAGAAGCAATTGGAGCAAAAAGGCAAAACTGGCTATTAATTGGGTAGTCGTGCCGAAACGCCTCTGCAGATACTGCAACGGATGTTTATATAATTGCGTTAGATTAATTTCGATCAATTAAATTTTAATACAAATATATTTATAACGCTATCTTACTTCAAAATTATTGATTATTAATTGTATTAATTTGCTTAATTTAAGCGGATAATAAATAAAAATATTTAGTATTTTATTTTAGACCAATTCAAATGATGTATAAAACAAGAATACTAAAAATAAAAATTAAATATTTGTAATTCACGATTGAGATGTCATAGACTAAATAATTATTAATTATTAAAAAAACTTAAATATTTGTATATAATTATTAAAGATTATCTTTAGCAGAATTACATTTGATTTTTGCATAATGTATTAAGATTTTTACCTCGAAAGTGCTCGTGGTGTCTAGCTTAAAAAACACCGGTAAATAAAAATAAGCTGCAAACGGCGTGGCGAGGCCGTAAGAGATGTTGATCACAGCGTATTGCGTACCGTATATGTAATTTTCGGAGCTCACTCCGAGTAGACTGACTGCTGATAAATATGAAACCATCAAACCTATCGCTACCGGGATCACTCGCATTGACTTGTTCGCCGTGAAGTATTCCTGCAGAAACACATTTCAGAAGAGTTAATTCATTTCGTCTTTATTTTGCTTTAATAATATCTAGATATTTTGGTTGAGAAAATATTAGTAAATCGAAAGAGTTGAAAATTATTGAAAAGAATTAAATCAGAATTAAAAATTATTAAAGCACAGTGCAATATCATGTGCTATACAAAATACAAAAATGTAATATTGCGTGTTATATAAAAAGAAAATATGATTTTAATTACCTCAGTCGACTTCTGCCGGCCACCGACGAGCCAATAATACACACCAATGCCGGAACTAATCAGAATTAATGCGCCGATCACTGCATAATCCGCTGCAGTTAATGTAGCCATGATGTTTGTCACAAATCTATTATCACCAAGTTAGAAACAAATCCTTCGTAGCGCGGTTTGTCCTTGAATCGATCTAACTTCTATTCTATTCGTGAAATAATTCCGCACTCTGCTTCATTTTTAAGAGAATGTCGTCTGGGATATGTGTTGCTTATCAACGTGTATTACTTGTCGTTTGCCGTATACGTAAGCAGCACGTTTATAATCTCCCTGACGTGATCTAATCTCACATGTGCCCCCACTATCAGAGAATCTGATCACTATCAGAGAACACAATCGTTTTATGATTATTTCCTAACTTTGTGTAATAATAACAAGTGCACATACACAGTTGAATTCCATTCATCCGCGCTCCATTTATGCGAACGATTTTGTGTTTGGATCCAAATATATGAATTCATAGTTAAATCTCTTATTATCCGAACCATTCAGTTAATAGAACTCGACGTGCCTGACTTCAATTTTCTGAACGTTAGCTGCTATTGTCAGAAGTATATAAGTACGTCAGCTTCTTTTATCGAAACTAATAAGTGAGTCTCTGTTATCTGAACCATTCGATTATCGGGACTATCTTATCCTTTAGACATTTTCGGGAGGGGAGGGGCGATATTCTATATACATATATATTACTTTTGAAATATTTGCAAATTTCTGCACTCTCTCTTCTCTCTCTTTTTCTTGACAACATACTGAGGTAACAACGAAAATTTATTATACATAAAAATGTAAAATAGATATTCTCAGGAAAGCAATGCTTATGTACGAATTAATGTTCGCGAACGAAGAGTGAGCAGATATGAATTTTCTATATGGCTTCTATATGGCAATGGAAAGGTTCAAGCAGCTGTGAAAGAGAATCGTGTACTCTTCAAAAATATTCAGGGCATTTTAATGTAAAATTGTATTGATATTTCGAAGCTGATTGCAAGATATCAATCGTCTCCAATAACTATAAAAATAATAATTATAGTTCGAGACATAGATTAGATAAACACGACTGACCTTTTCCTTTGTTATGTCTCAACTACAAATCTGAATTGTCTTCATGTTTAATTTTTTAAATATAACTCTTAAATAAAGTATTTAGAGGACTGATATTTATATTACATTTTTTTCTGTCTACTTTTGAAAAACTTTCATATAAAAATTGTGAGTTTAAAGGAGGAATACATAAGATATATGTGATGACCACATTTTGATCTTTCATTAAGGATAGATTAATGCGAATTTTTCAAATGGCATTACGACTGATTGTTCCCAGTGAGGACGCTGCGCGTAGCGGCGACGACATGAAGCATGCAGCATGCGTGGTAGCGGTGTCACGGCTGCGCGGTCTTGCCTTCAACCCCTGGTGTCCGCCAGCCGCTATCTCGCCATTCACGCCCTTCCCGGTGATCCTCTCTACTTCATTGTCGAGGTAAGGCAAATATCAATCATGAATGACCGTCAAAATGAGTTGCAATCTTGTTGCGGGAAAGATATGAGATAATTTTATTTTTAATCTTACAAATGTACGCGAATAAAGCAGTAATATGAAAAAAAAATCAAGAAATTATTTCTGAAAATAAAATAAAATTCTAATTAGCCTGTTTTTACTATTTCAGGCTAAGTCGAGAGTGAAGGAGGTTTATACGCAGACATGCACACTTCTCAGCCAACAGGGCATGCGAGATTGCGAACTCTTCGGTTTGGCAATATTGTCCGGTAAGTTGTATTTTTGTGTGTTTTCATTATCCTATAGAAAATGTAATTGCTAATTTTGTTTGACGAAGAAAACCCCAAACCGATGAAATTTATGCTTTCGTGAATAAATCCTGTTATTTTACTTCAACATTTTGATACGTAAAATTATTAGACAGAATTAATTTATATTGTATAGGAAATATACATATAGGAAATATATAGAAAAAAATCATGTAATTATATTTAGAAAGAATTTAGAAAAAATCTTGTTAATAAATTCATAATAAAAATAGATGACTTTTGTAACATGTTAAAATTAAATTTATCGGAGTACTTCCTTAAAATTAACCAAAGCTCTAATAAATAAATTAACTTTCCCTCTTGATTACAATGCTTTATAATTTAAAGTACAAAATACGAAAATATAGAAATTGAAGAATTTAATGCGCTCACCGAAAATGGCTGTTGGAAAAAAATAGACGAGCTTCACGTTATGGATCTATTTTCTATAACGGAAGAAAGTGATATAAACAGAGAATTCGCGAAAACATTAAACTAGCGAGATGTCCAGTCCTCTTGACTAATCGTCAGGTTTTTCTGCATACCATACGGCTCACGTTCATCGCTACCCTCACCAATCGTGACAAGCCGGTCCGACTGGTGGCCCCCACCACCTGGATAAAGCCTTCCCTGGGTCCTCAAAGAACCCTACGAGAGATCCCACCTCACCCATCCCTTCTACATTCCAGCGGAGCACCATCATCGGACTCGGTTGAGTTGGCAGGTCTCGAGACGCGCGAGCCATAGCATGACAAGAAAAAATGCACCTGAAAAACAAGTACAAGAAGAAAGGCAGCTCACACTCCCTGCATGCGCGTTATGGCTCATGCGTTTCGCGGTGGGTCTTACGATCTAAACCGAGACACACACACAAACTTTTGCTTCCCATTTCGTCAAACGCGGTCTTTAGTCTTTCTCGTCTTCCTCCGCTTCTCCCGTGAGTCTTACCTTCCTTCCATTTTGCGATTTCTATTTTTCTCCTCAATTTTCTTCCTCTTATCTAATAATTTTTTAAATTGATGAAACAATATGGCTCATGAGTTTATTTATAAATATTTGTACCTTTTGGGATTCTGCGTGCAATAAGTTTGTTTTGCTGAAAAATTTCTGTAGAAAAGAAGTATACTCCAGTTGCTTCATTCATTGAGTTGAGAAACTGCTTTTTGTCGAGCACCAAAGAATGCTCTAAGAATGCTCATCACAAATTCACGTTTTCTCATTCACGTTTTTTGATGACTGAACTCATCGTGAACGTTTAATAATAATAAAAAATTAGGGAATGTTACAACAATTAGGAAACAGGATTTTTTGCTTAGACCTCTCTCTCTCTCTCTCTTTCTCTCTCTTTCGCGGTAAATTCTAGCTGTGAAAGATTTAAAAGTGTGCAGATATAAATAATTAAATAAGGAAACGAGGGTGAGGCAACGCGTATATACAAAAGGAATAGAGATAGATAAATACATAGATACAGAGAGACAGGTATGCGATAAATGAAAGAGATAATAGAGGTTGCCGTAAGACGGAGGAGAGAATGACGAGCGCTATAAAGAAAGGAAGCGGCCAGATAGAGTAGAAAGAGAAAAACGGGCGGAAAGGGGGAAGGCAGAGAAAAAAAGGAGAACAGGGGGGGAGCCCGGGTAAGACGGTAGCCCGATGATTTGTATAAGGCCTCTCGTATTCCATCTCCCAGTCGAGCATCTCCGGCGCGCAACGTACGGGCCCCGGCGTACAGGAATGTGGAAGGAGGACGCGCCGGGGACAGGGATCGTTGGCACACGACGTGGTGGAAGAGGGGCGAAAAGGTCCGTTCTAGCCGGCGCGCGGAGGGGGGAGAGCGGAGCGCGGCGGAGAATACGCTCCGCGCGCAGGTTCAAGGGATATATATCGCGGCGAGGTTAAAGCTGCGCGTCACAACAGGGCCTCAACGTCGTCTTCTCTCTCCCTCTCTCCTCTCCAGCTATCTCCTTCTCGCTATCCTTCGCGGACCCGCACCGTATGTCACATCCTGCACGCCGACGGACCTCGCCACCGCGAGCAACACCTTCTCCGCCGAAACCCATCAGCGAAACCCTTTGATTTTGCTAGAGAAGAAACCTGCTTTCCATTTTTTTTGTTTCATTCTTTTCGCAGCGCTTTTTTCTATCCCGTTCCATCGGACTTGACCGGTCTTAGTTTGCAATTACATCCTTTGAGAGTTAGAGAAATTCTTTCGATTCAAGAATTGTTAGTGTCTAGTATCTAATATCTTTTTTCTCCCTTCGTTATCTATACTTTGCTTGTTTTTTCTATTGTATACTTTTTCCCTTTTCCTTTCTCCCACCTCTCACAATATTTACCAAAATTACGATGTTGTTCCTGATAACGAAGGAGGATCCTGAGTGTAAAATCGAGGCCTGATAAACTAAACACGCGAGATTCCTCGCGAGGAATGTCTAATCTTCGGAAGATTCAGTAAGTTCAGAAGTATGCGTTTGAACGTTTGAGACCAAGTCCGTGGAGGATAGCTAACGAGAGTGCGAAGGTAGAAAAGAGCACGGGCACAGATCTCTCCCCCTCTTCCTCCTCCGGGGTGATCAAGGCAATCAGGGATGATTACGAGTGTAATTATGGTTATGGCGCATTGCTGCGCCACACTGAAGTGGAAAGAGAGAGAGAGAAAAAAAAGGACTATTGTTTCTTTCTGGGAAACAGATGGACTCATGAGAGTAGTCTCGCTTGTTGAACTTTTCTTGTTGCACCACAGGAGACGCTCCTTTCCGACTTTTCCGATGCTCTCGACTAAGTGCATTTATTAAGAAACACGAGATCGTATCTCGCGTTTCAAGAGTTACGTATACCAAACAGCAAGGCAGCTCTTGAAACGTTTATACATCAGATAGAACTGAATAATAACGATTTAATATTTTAATGTACTTTCTGGACCAAATCGTTTTTCACCGTACAATCAAATACGCTACAAGATATTGAGTAGAAAATTAACTCTAAAATGTATATTTATAAAATTTACTGTAAAATAGATATTTCAATATTCATTGAAATTATCGAGATATTTGAACGATATCCTATACATTTATATACAATAACGAGAATTGATTTACAATAAAAAAAAAGTATATGGTTAAAAGAAATCGAATTGACCTTGGAATCTCCGAAACGCCTCTGTCGTTGGAGCAAACGTGAATCCGTACTAGGGTTCGGGATAGACGAAAGTCTGAAACAAAAAGGAAAAAAAAACTGAAATCCAGGATGCGGGCTCGATCGAATACGAGCGAGAGAGATGAAGAAAAAAGGGAGATTGTGCTCCCCTCCGCGTGACTGCGAAGAATATATCTCCAGAGGAATACGATGGGCCCTATAGTCCCGATGGATTATTACGCGAGGGCCAGGGTTAGCCTTCGGGCAACATTCCCCAGTAATGGCCGGGTTATACCTCGGGTAACACAGGTGCTCTCTTCCCCACGGAAAGAGTGAGCGTATCGAAAGAGGAATACCGGAGCGGCTTAAGTCCATTTTAGACGACCTATAATTTGCAACAGAATACAGGATAAAATTCTACATGTAATTTGATATATTATAGAGAGAGAGAGAGAGGGGGAGGGGGAAGAAGAGAATGGGAAGAAAAAAGTTATATACAAAATTGAAAAATGTTCACTTTTATGAACAGAAAATAAGCACTAAATATGCGTGTCATTTAAATTTAAATTAATCATAATCCACTTTCGAAACTTTAATTACGAAGTTTATAA